AGTAGAAACACACAGCATGTGCAAGACTGCAGTTACATAAATGTTTCTGGGGACCTGAACACTTGAAAGGCTTAAAAGGAGAAATGCAACCTCTACTTGAGAGCTCCAAAGGAACAGAAACCTAAACAGGTTGAGGAGAAGTAGGATGGGATCAAAGTGGAATGAGACAACAGGCAAGCCTAGAGAGGCTTAATATGCATTACACACTGTTCAATATTTGGGGGTTTTCAGCTAAAAATCACCATATTGTAAAGTTTAATGAAATATAAAAAACTGTTAGGATCACACATGCATCAGAAGCAGGAATAATCAAGTTACTTGAAAAAAAAAAAAAACTTGAAAAAAATACCACATTTTTGTTCAAAATGCAAACATACCTTAGTGTATAGTGGTGTTAATGCATAAACTCCTCAAATATGCAACTATAGGCACTATAAAGCATCTCTCTCTGAAACTTTGCAAACAGTCAAAATTCTGATATCCTGCACTCCAAATAAGTAGAGTGTATGTGTGTGTATGTTAGATTTATTTTATTTAAATAAATAAAATGTACACACATACTCCTCACACTTACGACACAACTGGTTCCTGAAACCTGTCTTAAGTTGAAACTTTGTAACTCGGCACCGATTTTCCCATAGGAAACAATGTTATAAATGGGGGGTTGGTTCCTGAACCAAGGCCCGATACCCTATTTTCACCAAAAATAACCTAGAATTTTGTACTCAAATCAATTACAGATGAGTACTATAGCTACATTAATTTATATTGGAAATGGCAATCATACTGTTTTGGAAGGACTTCTTTGAGGTGACTTTGCTGGACTTTTTGAAGGGCTCTTGGCTGGAGTCTTCTCAGGAGCCTTAGCTGCAGGTTTTTTCTGGAGTCTCTTTAAGAAAGCAGACAAGTGTCCAAGGAAGTTCAGACAGATGTTCTCCAGGGAGATGGGCAACACAACGAACTTGTTCGCTGGTGTGGCGTCACATCGGATCAAGCATTGTAAAGTCGAAACTGACATCAGAAAGTTGAAGCAGGGTGTCAATTTATAAACCTTCTAAGTGTGAAATGTTGCAACCCAAAACACTGCAAGTCAAGGACTGTACGTGCATGTGTAATTGGCTACATCAGAAAATTGGCCCCATGCGACAGATAAATGTCCGTGTGCAAGCACAGCCCAGAAGCTTGGAGAGCTGTGTGCAACTGGTAAGTCCATTGTGGTGGAAAGGAAGGGGGACCAGGGGGAGAAAAATGGGCCTATAATTTGGCCAATAAATATGTATGCGTCTCAACCTCCACCTCCACTCACGCACCAGGAAGAGCCGGGGCTGCACCAGGCAGGCAGCAGCAGCACTGGGAGGAGGTCAGGAGGGGGGCTACGATGAAGTTTGGGGTAGCTGGAGCCCCTTCTTAGCCCTCTCCCAGCACTGCCCCCACCCACCGAACCTCTCCCACCGAGAAGAACCCAGTGCAGTCCCAACTCCAGCTGGCAGCTGCACCCTACCTGTCCCACCCCACAGAGATGCAGGGGGCACACGCCACCCCACCACACGCCCTTCCAGGGTGCACGCAGTAGCAGGAGCCACCCCCCCAGACAAGCCCCAGCTCCATCCTGTGTCCTGCCCCGCCTGGCAGGGCAGCACCTGCCCCCACCCCTGATGCACTCGCTCCCTCCCTCACCACAGGGACGTTGATCTGCCCCACCACGAACTTACCAGCCACATGCAGCTGTATCGAAAATCATATCAGTATCGGCCAATATGCCTCCTTAAAAATCAGCTATCGGTATCAGCCCCCAAAACCTCTAATCAGTGCACTAAGGCAGGGACATATATATACACGTCTAATAATTACCAACTATCCAGTATTTTACACCTTCCTCTGAAGCAACAAATAATGGATTGCTGTAGAGATCAAACCAATCTTAACCTTACATAGCAATTGTTCTGCTTTTAAAATATGGGAGAGAAAGAAGAATTGCCAAGGAATTATCAAGGGAAATAATTCAAGAAGGATGTCAGAAAGCTTGAGAGAGTCCAGAGGAGATCCACGCACATGATCAGAGGGCAAGCGAATAGGCCTTATGAAGAGAGGCTGAAAGCCATGGGACTCTTCAGCCTGGAAAAGTGCAGGCTCAGGGGGGACCTGGTGGCTGCTTATAAGTACATGAGGGGTGTACATCAGGACCTGGAAGGACAGCTGTTCACCAGAGTGCCCCAAGGAAAAACAAGGACCAATGGTCATAAACTCCTTGAAGACCGTTTTAGGCTGGACATAAGGAAAACATTTCTTTACTGTTTGAGCCCCCAAAACCTGAAATAGACTCCCTCCAGAAGTGGTGCAGGCACCTTATCAGGACTCATTCAAGAAGTGCTTGGCTGCTTATCTTGCCGGGATCCTTTGATCCCAGCTGACTTCCTGCCCCTGGGGCAGTGTGCTGGACTTGATGATCTTCGAGGTCTCTTCAAGCCCTAATGTCTATGAAATCTATAATAGTTATTTAGCATTTGGTACCAGTTCTCAAAAAAATTCTGATACTTGACCATAGGATTAAAGTCCATCAGACTCGCATGTTAAGGGTGTGCCGATATATCAGTTGGCTATCAGATTAGCACCGATAAGAGGAGAAATTATGTTATTGGCTATCGGCTTTTTTTGGTTGTTGTAGCAGATAATTATAGCTGTGTGCCCAGAGCAAGCATAGTCCATCTCCAACAACCTGTTGCCAGCCCAAGCGCACAGCAGACTACAAGTCACAGTGAGCAGTGGGAGAGGGAGGGGACACCAAGGAGTGGTCACAAAGGGAGAGCAAAGGGACAGTTACCTTTATGCTGCTGCTGCCACTGGCATGGCAACATCACGTGTGCAGCAGGGGCCTAAGCACCAGGGCTGCCAGAAACATTGGGCTGCACACAGGTGGAGTAAGGCAAGGGACATTTCAGGCACTGGGTGTCTTTGCAAAACTGGCTACTCCCTGGTGGCTGCAGTAGCTCAGCTGCACGTGGCCTGCCAATGCTGAGGCAATGACATGCTCTGAAACTCCAACCATGCCCAACAGTGCTGTCCATGCAAGGGTCTGCCCCACCCACACAGGATGGTAGCATGGGCTGTGCAGGGAGCAGGGCCGTGGGAAGGAACCGCAGGCAACGGGGTTGCCCACAATACACGTTGAAATAAGACTATCATTGCCTTCCTCAAAGGACAAAGTAGGCAGGAAGCGTGTGTATGTGCATATGGAAAAACAAACCAAAAAATTAAATTAAAATTATTTTATTTTATAATAAAGGTTTATGTCAGTAGTTTAAAATGCCTTGCATGATTTCTAATTGGATTGGCATTGACCAATATGGTTGTCTAATCTTTGGCTATCAGTGTCTGCCAAGGAAGTCTTTATTGGTGCACCCCTATCACATGCATATACTTTACTGAGATGTTAAAAGTTTAAACAAAGCCTGGATAAGAGCATTTTATATAGTCATTTTTAACCGAACTTGAAGATTTGGCTGAAAATTTGAAAGTTCTGTATACTTGGACTTTGGAGGAAGGAAAAACTTTCAAACAATGACCAAACAAAAAGCTATGGAGGAGTTCCTTGATCATTTTACCTATAGTGAGTGCCATTTTGGTTGACTCTCCATAAAAATAAAAAAAGGCCTCACAAATCCAAGAATGATTTCAAGCCCATATCTTTTCCTAGGTTTAACATTTGAATATTTTAGTCAACAGGAACCATCTTTCAGACCTGCACAAAAGAAGTCTTTGATGAGCTTTACATAAATCAATGCAACATGAGCCTTTCATAAGCTTCCTCTAGCTATCTGTTTTTGCAATAGCCTGTACAATATACACAAGATGCTGCTCTCAATTTTCACCTGCTACCCCAACATACTGCTCTTACAGAGATGTATTGAAACAGTTATAGAAACAGACATTGCATAGTTAAATAACGATCTTTGACACTTAAATCTGGGGTCTTGAAAAGTTGCAGATCAGGTTCTAGACTATTTGAATGCAATCAAGTATCTGGGCACTGCAAATTTGGGTAAAATCCAACATATTTACTCAAATACTATATTTGCTGCCCTCCCCTCCATGTTGGTAAGGAAGAATGAAAAAACAAATCCCAAAAAAAAATTACCACAGCAAGGGTTCAGCATAGCCAAATGAGGGCCCTAGGTGGAAGGAAGGAGTCCTCCCTTCAGCATCACTAAGGCTGCATGCACACATTCAAATTAGCTGGAAAGTTTTTCTACCATTCAGGAGAACTTATCTTTTCAAGCATCTCTGGGTATTTCAATCATGAGCCTCCGAATTGCAGAGGGTTGCAGTACTGCCACTACACAAACAGGGGGGGCCTTGTGCACATATCTCACAGAAATCATAGACATATAAGGCTGGAACGGACTGCCAGAGGTCATCTACTCCAGTGCCCTACCTGAGGCAGGACCATCCCAACACCCTGGAGGAGACCAGGGGGCAGGGGGTCAACACAGAGCAAAGCATCCCTGGATGCTGGAAAACTAAGCTTTGGCTTCTCTCAGAAGAAAACATGTACAGACGTTCACTCACACAGGAGAAACTGTTCTGGAAGCATTTTAGCCTTGATTGTTCCTGAGTAATTTTTTCTTCTGGCAGCAGTCACTTTTGCTTTGGGGTAAAAAAATCCTGAACCCCATGTACTCTCTCAGGAGGAATAATATCTGCGTATGGCCTTAATCTCAAACTATACCTTCAGAACTACAATTTTACTGCTCAGCAGGTATAACAGGGTTACTTATAACCAACTGTGACCCTGAAGGGTGCGCTCTGTCCCTTCCCCCTAAACCAGGAGTGGGCAAAATGTGG